GGAGCAATGTCTATAACTTTCCCTTTTGCACTCAAATTAGGCTCAAATGTTGACCAAGCAATGCCAATTGCACAGTTGATCACAGCATCATATTTCCGGCCAGACGGGCTCTTCAGAGCTGCCCCATCCGGGGTCTTGTAGTCAAGAACTTCATCTGCCCCTAAGCTCTTAACCAATTCGACGTTACGAGCTCCACAGGTGGCTGTGACATGAGTGTTTCCGAGCTTTGCTAGTTGGACTGCATAGTGTCCAACGCCACCAGAGGCAGCAGTGATCAATATGTTCTTCTGCTTCCCAGTTCCGTCAAGCTTGATCCCTGCAGATTGGGTGATAGCCTGGTGAGCCGTGATGCCGGCAACAGGTAAGCCTGCACCTTCAGCTGCTGACACTTCAGCTGGCCTAGCAACCATGAATCTCTCATTACTTGAAGCAAACTCAGCCAGTCCACCTCCACTCTATCAAATATGTAATATCACAACAGACATATTGTGAGGCATATATGACATCATTAAGTACCAAGAACATGAATTTGATATGTGGAAGAAATCCTAATCAGAAACAAGCAAAGGAATAAAATGGCACTTACAAAATGGCTGAGCAATACCACAACTTTGTCACCCACTTTGAACTTTTTGGCTCCTTGTCCAACCTCTACAATCTCCCCAGCCACATCAGTTGCTGTTCCACATAATGCCACCAGCCAACATTAACAAACCAACCAAATCACAAAAAAAGTCATGTGTTTGACCATAAGAAGACGAAAATCAATGCGTAAGTTTCAGAATCAACGGTAACTTGGGATAAGCAGAAGCCTGTTTGCCAACATGTTTATGCACAAAACTGAAAAATTATGCACTCATTACAAATGTCAACAAAAAAAAAAAACAATCACAAACCAGAGTCAAAACAGAATTACCAGGTATTTGAGGGAATTTTCCTGGGAAGAGAGGCCGCAACTGGCCCTTCTGAATTTTCCAATCAACTGGGTTTAGACTGGCTGCTTCCAATTTCAGCAAGACCTCATTTTTCTTCGGGGTTGGGATAGGAACCTCGACATGCTGCAACAAACATAACATTTACATAACAATTTGTAAAAGGTTGCTCCTTTATTGCTGTTAATCCAAGCAAAATTAGATTGATGGAAACTAAAAGAAGAATAGGAGCAGATAAAGAAGGAACCTTTAAACCAGAAGGTCCTCCAGCATAGCTATCGTATTGAATTGCATGCATAAGCTTGGCCGACATGGCTGATGATGCACAGAGACAGAGTGACAGAGAGAGACAGAGTTGCGAGATTTCTGAAATTGGGTTCCTTGAGTTTTATGGTACCCCCATGTCACATAAATGACAAACACTAAGGACGCTCATTGTTTTCTTCGCTTTATTTTTTGTTTCTTTTTATTTATTTAGTTATATATAATACAAAAAGTAGAATAATTGGATTGTGTCCGATGCTATAAACCAGAACTTGGTTTGCTTGAGAAGTCATGATGATGATAATTTAAAATTAAAAAAATACAAGTGATAATTTATACGAATAAATTAATCGTTTACGAGGAGAGGAACTCAAACTGAGTGTACATGAGCAACTATCCTGCCCAACTGCCCTAGCCCACATTGCAACAATGATCATGATTAATAGTGTGGTGTTTGAGCATTTTGTTTGATTAGTGATATATTCTAATTAATAACCCATAAAATACTAGCAGTTGAAAATGAGCATTCATCCCAAATCTTCTCATTTACAATATCCAATCATGAATAAAACCAAAAAGTCCACACATTATTATATTAACACCCTTATTCTGTTGCACATGAATTTTAATACAATCCCAAAAAAAAATCATGAGGTTTAAACTCCCAAGATATTTTGCCTACCTAAGGCTCCACAATGATCTTCCCAGTGCATTGGCTATTGATTCTCTTAGCCCAAGCATCTTCAGCCTTGCTTAGAGAATGGTTTGAATCAATCAGAGTCTTGAGTTTTCCTTCCTTCACCAACTGAACAAGACAATCCAAGTTCTCAGCCTTGGCATTAATCATTAGTGGCACCAGCCTCTTCTTGGAGAAAGTGATTTTCTTCAGAAGAAAAGTAAACAAGGAACTTGCACCAGGAGTAAGGTCAATGACCTTCCCTCTTGCACTCAAATTTGGCTCAAAAATTGACCAAGGAATGGCTGCGGATGCACTGTGGATCACGAAATCATATTTTCGACCTGACGGGCTCTTAAGAGTTTCCCCCTCAGTTGTCTTGTAGTCAAGAACCTCATCTGCCCCTAAGCTCTTCACCAATTCAATGTTTCTAGCTCCACAAGTGGCTGTTACATGAGTGTTTCCAAGCTTTGCTAGTTGGACTGCATAGAGACCAACACCGCCGGCGGCACCAGTGATCAGTATGTTCTTGAGCTGGCCAGTTCCATCAAGCTTGATCCCTGCGGCTTTGGTGAGAGCCTGGTGAGCTGAGAGACCTGTTGTGAAAATGGACAAACACTTTCACTCACTCCCCTAATGATCTTGTTGTTGATGGACTTTGTGACACACACAAGGATGGATGAATCACACACACACACACACACACACTTGAGAAACCAACCAAGCACAAAGTGACACAAGTATTTTAGAGGTTCAGCAATTGCCTACATCCTCTTGGTGATCCCCTTGAGAAATTCACTAATGAAAGAATAAGTTACAACTTTGGTTTACAAAGAAACCCCCTTAAAACTCTATTCTCTCCCAAGCTCTCTTTTCTCTCTCACCCCTTGCTCAACACTTTGATACACTTGTGAACACTCTCACAACTCTTGGTGTTTCCCCCCTTTGGTGTCTAGACTACTCAAGACTCAACTCAGCT